ACAGCGTCGAGTCTGCTTAACCCTATGCTACCTGGCCGGGCCCCTTCTTACCCACCACCAGTGCCGAAGGATGCCACGCCTTTCTACACGCCACCGGCGCAGGCATCCTCACCAGCACCGGCGGTGACGCTGACGCCGGAGATGCTTCAGCAGCTTCTTCAGCGCGCCGCCGCGGCGACCGTCGCAGCAGAGGTTTCGGGGGCAGAGCCGCATGCTGCTCCTACAGATGCGGCCGAATTGCCCGTACCAGGAGATGCTGAGGGTGATTCCGAGCACGGCGAGCAGCAGCAGCAGCAGCACCCAGTGCAGCGGCACCCCGTGGAGCAGCACGCTCCTGCATCGATACCCGTGGACGTGGTGATGAAGCTTCTTGAGGCTGTAGCCGCAAAGGCTGCGCCCACCACTGGTCAGCCTCCGAGCGTGGTCAACCGGGAGGCGGACAGAGTTGTCATTCCTTCCTTGCCGAGTCATCTTGATTATACCCAGTGGCGCTACAGCGTCCATGCCAATGTGCTCGCGGCCTCCTCGGTGCCTCACTTGGTAGGCCCGTTCATGGACGACGTGGCCAACCCGTACGTCAGCGACGAGATGCTGGTCACGGACAGGCCTCCAGCGATGGCATCCATCGACGCCAAGCTCTTCAGCGCGTTGGTGCATCTGTTGGTTGCCAAGCCCTGCGAGGACTCCACCAGGATACTCGGCGCCATCCGCCAGCTGTGTCAGCCCGGCTGTGGACGACAAGCTTTACGTCTCATTGATGGCGACTATCTCCATCAAGGACCCCGGCGTCGTCAGATAGCTTTGGCGGCTCTTCGCGAGATGACCAAGCCCGTGCACGACATCGGGCAGGCGGAAGCGACGCCCACCAAGCTTAAGAACATCTTGATGGAGCTCCGGGGTAGCCCCGAGATGCCGACGGATGCCTTCATCTTGTCGATTCTTCAGTCTTTGTTTGAATCCAACCATAGACTCGCTCCCACGTTCGCTGCTTACGATTTGATGCCGGACATTGGGACACACTACTTGATGAAGAATATTGAGCGGATCTGCGTTGAACACCGGGCAGCTGCCGCTACAAGACCACCGAAGGTAAAGGCAGCAGCGGGTCTCAGCAAAACCCCCAACACCAAAGCACCCAGCAAAGCACAAGGGAAGAAGGACTTGATTTGTTCCCAGTGCCACAAAAAGGGGCACTCGAAGGAGGAATGTTGGCAGCTAACTCGCCATTGCGATCACTGCAAGAAGAAGGGGCATCTTGCGAAGGATTGCTTTCATAATCCGCAGAGCCCCAAGTACAAGCCACCGAAGTCCACCACGCAGGCGGGGGCATTGGTGACTGATCCCAGTGCCCTTGCATTGGCGGCCCCAGGAGGCGCTGCACCTCCCACTTCTGCCTCTTTGCATCAGCCGTCGCAGGGGAGCGCGTCCTCGTCCTCTGCACCGCCGACGGCCGCTGCGGCTTTGATCGACAGTCAGGTCGCCGAGTTTCAGCGGTACTTGGCTGCTCAGGCAGCCGTCAAGAAGGCCTACGGCTGCGAGTGCACGCCGGCAGCGATGCAGTCTACCGATGTGCTTTTGGATTCTGGGTCAACGTTTCACTTCACGGGCAAAGTTGGCGAGGCCGGCATTTCGCCCACGGCTGCAGTGGAGGTTGCCACGGCTACAGGCGAGTCCGCCTTCAACCAGGGCGCCACGTCGATCGACAACTCGCAGGTGGGACCTCTGCACGCTCACTTTGCTCCTGGGGCGCCTACGGCTGCCGGCTTAGGGAAATTGATCAAGGACCTGAAGCTGGACTTCTCTTGGTCGTGGCGCGACTTCGAAAACCCCGTCCTGACAACAGTGGAAGGTGTTCCGCTGAGTGTTCATGTCGAGGCCGACTGTCCATTCTTGGCAGCATCGGCCAGAGCATGCAAATTGGGTAGCCATTGCTGCCCATCTGACGTCGCAGTGTGCTGCCCGTCATTCTCCGATAGCTCCGTAGTGGTAGATGGGGACAATGCCCCGCGCCAGGAGCTGCGCGTGGACCAGTGTTCGTTCGGCAGCCACAACCACGCCACGGACAGCAGCCACCAGGATGAGTGCATCCACCTCAACGGCATGTTTTGTCCACCTCACAATGTGGGCCAAACAGCCTGCATTGCCCAGGTCATGGAAGATGGGGGCCGTGCCCCGCGCCAGTCGGACACTCGCGAAGTACCACTCCCAGGGGTCGTGGTAGAGGACGACGAGTCGCAGACTCTGATCATGGACAAGCCGGTTGTCGCACACCACTTCTTAGGTATCGACATCAGTTTGAGTGAGCCAGTGGGCCATTCGCGTACGTGTACTCTGTCACAGCACAAGTACGTTCGTCACATCCTTAAGTATTTCCTCGAGGTCAGCCCCAACCTTGTGCTGCGCAAGAAGCAGACGCCATGTCATGACTCAGTATGTGTATTGGGTATTGGCGACGGTGCTGATCAGGAGGGGGTTTATGCGAAGTTGGCAGCTCGTTTGATTGGCATGCTCTTGTATTTGATGCGGGGCACTCGGCCTGAACTTGCTGTTGGCTTATCGATTTTGGGATCTTTTGTTACACGCTGGTCAACACTATGCGACATAGCCGTCATCGGCATCATGTCCTACCTCAACACCTACCCCAACGTCGTCCTTACCCTCGCAGGCGACGAGAGAGACGTCCACCACATGACCTCGGAGACGTTCGCGGACTCCGATCACGCAGGAGATAAGGAAACCAGCAAATCCATTTCAGGCGCACTGAGCTTCATTATGGGAGAGCATGGCACGAAAGCCCTCATAGCATGGTTTGCCGTGAAAATGAGATCTTCTGGTATCTCGACTGGGGAAGTGGAGGTTGCAGCAGCGTCGGTCGCACTGAGACGGTTGGCTCTTCCGCTGACTTCCGTGCTGGAGTTCGTGTTCGTGCCCGGCGGTGCGACGATCCTCACTCTGTTGCGCGGCGACGCCGAGGTGGCCGAGCACGTCTTTGCCAGTGGGCGAAGCAAGGCCATGAGGTACTTGAGGAAGGTCCATCGCGTCAGCATCCACTTCGTCTATGACGTCTTACATCTTCCGGGGGTCTCGTACAAGCATGTGGAAGGCAGTGAGAACTGTTCGGACTTGTTGACCAAACCACTACCCAAGGACGCCCATTTCAAGCACGTGCACTTCATGGGACTGGTTATCTTATCGGACGACAACCAGGTGATGGCCGTGGTTGCCTACAAGGCGAAGAAGGGTTTCAAACAGGGTGCCCGTAGGGTGTGGGTCTCGCCGGACATGCCTCACACTCTGGAGCACATGCTCCTGCACCTTCCCATGCACCCCGACTGCGAGATTTGCCAGCTTGCAAAGATCTCGCTGACCCCGGCGCGGCGCGCAGTGAGTTCTGAGCGGGAGACCGTTTATGGTGGTAGATTCTACGCCGATCTCATCGGGCCGGTGCTGCCGGACATTTCTGGCTTCAAGTACTTGCTCGTGTTGCGGGATGAGGCCACTGACTACGCTTTCGTGCACCCCATGCCCGACAAGACGGGCTCCACGGTGACGGAGGCTTACAAGGTGCTCACCGTCGACTCCGTGATCAAGAAGGTACGGCCTGATTGGGGCTGTGAGTTCCAGGGTAGATTCGAGAAGCACTGCCGCCGAGTGGATACCCATATCGAGCGCGGTCTGCCGCGTCGTTCCACCAATTACGCGAGAGCTGAACGGTGGCATCGGACGCTCGAGGATGGCGTGCGTGCAGACTTGTGCCAGAGCGGCCTTGGACACCAATGGTATGCCATGAGCGCCGTCATGTGGACTGAGCATTGGAATCGCGTTGGGCGCGATGGCCGTATATCTCCATACTTTCACAGATTCAATCGTACGTCTGATTTGGAATTGAGGCCATTCGGTTCTTTGATCATCTATCTTAAGGACAAGCCTTCGGCGATCACCAACCTCCCAAAGTTCGAACCACGAGGCGACTTCGGCGTGGTCGTCGGCTACGGCGCCCGGGGGAGTTTTATCATCTTGCGACTCGCTCCGTTCATCCAGGAAGGTCGCAGGTTGTTCAAGAGAACACGGGACGTCAAGTTCCCCACTCACGGCCCGAAGTTTCCCGTGCGTCATCTTCTCAAGAGTAGGGAGCCCGAGGTTGCATGGCATTTCCTCCTCCCGTGGGAGCATGTCCCGGACGACGACGTGGAGCTGCGCGCCCCGCACGGCGACAGGTGCGCTACCTGCTCAGGGTTCATCGCCACCGACCCCGTGACTTGCAAGGCCTGCATAGAAGGTGCGCCCAGGAAGCGGGTCACCAAGAAGGAGACGTCGGAGATCCACAGCAATGACCAGACTTGTAATCTTCGACGTTGCCATTGCGTGAGTGCTGACTCTGTTGGAACTGATGTCGTGCAGTGCCTTGTGGACCCATTACCGCCATGTGAGGAGGAGACTTCTGTGGCCGACATCGTTTTTGGCACCTTGATCGTCCCTGACACGGTCGAGCCTGCTCCATCCACTGTTGGCCCAGACTTCCACGAGCCCGAGAATCTCGCTTCAGCCGCCGGCCATTTCAAAAACCAGGTGGAGGAGGGAACCACCTCGTCAGAGGAGGCGGTGAAGGGGTTCTGCATGGTCTACAAAGCTGTCCCTCTCAAATCCGCCTCCGCCCAGACACCGGAGGCTCAGGCCGCCATCCGGAAGGAGTTGGCCACGATGGAGGAGCTCAAGGTTTGGGACCCATACGACACCGTCATGGAGCTATGGCAACTTCGTTCTCTGCATCCTGATGCTCTTGTGGTGTACGCCCATCTTCTTTTAGGCTGCAAGGACACGGAGTCTTCCGGACTCGACGTGCTTGACCCGCTGCAGGCGTACCTCCTGAAGTGGAAGGCCCGCATTGTTGCTGGAGGTGACCGTCTTCTTGACCAGTACGGCCGGCACTATAGGGAGAAGGACTTACATGGTGCACCTACCAGTCTCGAAGCTGTACGTCTGGTGTGTTGGTGGGCCACGATGTCTCCAACACACACGCTTTTGCAGGCTGATGTGACAGGCGCTTACCTGCAGTCCCAGCTCGGAGGACGGCCGGTATGGATTGTCTTACCTCCGAGCTTGTGGCCGACATGGTGGTCCGAGAAAGGCTACAAGCAGCCCGTGTTGCGTTTACGGAAGGCTTTATACGGATTGCAGAGGTTTGGTTTTGATTGGGCCAAGAAGGCCCACAGCGTCCTTACTGCAGCCGGCTGGACTGTCATTCCGGATGTTGTCGACGCTGTGTACATCAAGCGAGACGGCTCCAAGGTGTGCATCATGGCGTTGTACGTCGATGACATTTTGGCCAGTGGGCCGAGTGACATGTTGTCGGAAGCCTTGAACGCCATCAGAGGACATCCATGAGCTGGAGCGGCGCGTGGCGCAGGATAGGATTTGCTTGCGCAATGAGGAGGCGTGTGCTTAGTGTTTTTTCATTGACGCGCACAAATCCCAGATCATTCACGAGGAACGTTTATCCCATGAAGTGGGATTGTTGTCTCCGCACAAAGTTTTAAGGCCTCTGCGGGCCCGCCCGGGGATATTTGAACACGGGGGGGTCTTAACAAATCGTGGTCCCCCCCCGGGCTCCCAGAGGCTCTGCGGGAGGTCTGGACCAAACGGTTACCGACCAGAGGATTCATTAACTTCAGTTTTTCTTCCCGTGGTGTCGTTTTGTTGCGCCCATGGGGGCGGACAGATCGTGCCCCCCCTCCAAGGCGCACGACGCAGAATGAGCTAACGTACGCATTTTGTGCAACGAGAGAAGCACTGTAGAGTAAGCGTTTCTGGGAATGAGCGTGGCAACACCTCATTTCCGAGGTGAGTGTGGCGACACCTCACCTCGGCTGTAAAATACATCCTTGACCAACTTTTGGCTCAAGGCTCAAAGGACTGACGTACTTCAGCACACTATGCCTGAAAAACGAAAGTTCGAGACCGAAGTCACACGTTTCGAGAAACGTCTGCGTACGACCGTTCATTCACTTCTTTGCGACAGGTTGCAGATTCCTTACAACAGGAGCGAGCCATATCCAGTACCAGTCAACATCGCCATCAAACATTTGGTAAGCGTTGCCAATGGAGGGGTCCCCACAGCCGTCGACACCTTTAACAACAACCACATATATATATATATATATATATATATACGTTGATACGTCTGCAAACATTTGGCCCTCGTAACTTAGGTCCCCTTCCAAAGGGTCACGGATACTTTGATTGTTTATCATCTGACCGAGCACACCCTGCCCTCGCTCGTCTCTCGGGAAACGTAAGACTCGAGGTCGCCAGAATTCGGGTTTGCCGACGCTAGTCGACGAGCCCGTCGCGAATTTTGACGGTCCAACTTTCGTTGGATGTGTGCCTCGGGAGCTCGCGTCGAACTTCAGTCTCGTTATTTTCCTGGCGCCCCGTCAGGCCAACCCGAGCCCCCCGAGCCCGAGTCTTGCGTCTTCGTCTTCCCGAACAGAACGCACCCTGCCCTCGCTCGCTCTCCTCGCCCTCCCGGGGCCCATCCCGATCCCAGACGGGCTCGCGCGCTGTGGAACATCGCTGCGGAAGTTGTTTGGCCGTTTTCCACCCCCTGGGGCAGGCCGCGCCCCGGGACAGAACAAACAGAAAGCTCGGGATGAGAGGTTGGCGCTGGGGAAAAGCTCGGGACTTCCGGGGACTCCGTCTTCGCCCTCCAGAATATCAGAAGCACAGTCGGCATGAACATGCATTCTCGGAGGTCCCGCGGGTTTCTTGGATCGGCGCCGGGGCTCCCTTGGCGGCGCCTCTGGGGCCGCCCCTGGCGCGCTCCGCGCGCCGGGGAACGGGGTCCCACAACCGATCCAAGAAATCCGTGCTGACCTCTAAACGTTTATGCTTATGTGCTTTTCTTCTTCCAGTTCCGTCGCCGGCCTCCTTGAGCCCCCCAATGAGGGCGGGAGGATTCTGGCAGCTCCTGGTCTTCCTCGTCGTCGCGGCCAGCCTTGGCGTGGAAAGCTGTCGGGTGCTTCGCCCTTGGGGGTGGGGTGGGTGGGTTGGCGGGGTGGGGTCGGGGGGGCACAGAACACAGTATGATTGCGGATTGTATGCTTGCGGCAGAGATGCGAAACAATTGTGTGAGTCGTGGCAGAGGTGGACGCGTCCCGAGTTCTCCGCTTTGTGGAAACTGCGATCTACAGTCAACCCGCATAGTAAGGATGGGCAACCTTTCCAAGGCTGCCCTTGCATCCTGGCCCCTTCGGCCCATCCTGAGCGACTCTCGCTGGCCAGCATCGCTTGAAAAACGTCAGCATGACCCTCCAAGGCCCTTGCATCCTTATCCTGCATCCTTACTACACGGGTTGACTGTATTCTTATTTGGGGGAAATTCGTTTTCGCTCGGGAAGAAGTAACTGCTTCCTTCTTCGGGGGGAATAAGGTCGATCTGTTTTTTGTGTATGATCCTCTTTAAGAGAGAGAGAGAGAGAGAGAGAGAAAAAAAAAAAAATGTCTGTGTGTGTGCGTGTGTGATTTCATCCTCGGGAGTCTGGTCTTCTCTTTTGGGGCAGTGTGCTTACCTGTTTATCGAGAAGGTCTTACGGCCGGTGCCGCCGACCCTGAAGACGACGACGACGATGACAACGAGGACAAGGAGGAGGAGGGGGGGAGGGGGGGACAGCAGGAGGAAGCAGGAGGAGGAGGAGGAGGAGGAGCTGGTGGGGGAGGGGAAGGTGGAGGAGGACGAAGAGCAGGAGCAAGGGGTGGGGAAGCAGGACGCGGAGGCGGAGGAGAAGGTGGCGGCGGAGGAGCCGGAAGGATCACGCGTAGGTTGGGAGCGTTTTGGGAGGCTTTTGAGGCCTGTTGGGAGGCTCCAGAAGGCTTCTGGGGGTGTCCCAAGGCTTTCTTGGAGGTTATTTGGGCGCGTTTTGAGGGCTTCTGGAGGCTGAGAACCTCTGACGCCGAAAGCTCGTAGGGTCTTCAGTCCTGGCACCCCTCATGGGAACGTCTTTGGGGCTTCTGGGGCCGTCTTGGAGGCCTTTTGGGCCGTCTTGGGGTCTGGAGTCATTCTGGGGCGCTGCTCGAGGCCTGCTGGGGTATCCTGTGGCGTCATTGGGGGCGTCTGGGGCGCGAGGAGCGTCGGGAAGCCGAGATGGCAAGAAGGCCAGAATGAATCAAACACGTCAGGGAGATCGACGATTTTTGCCCCTCGGGGCTCGCTTGGAAGTGCTCTTGGAGGTGTTTTTGAGGCGTCTGGGAAACGTATCGCCCTCTCACTTCCCCCCTTGGCTCGCCGTTAAAGACCACGTCGGTGCATATTACATCCAGCGGCCTGCGGCAAGTCCCGCCACCGTGCCAGCCCAGCACCTTGGGTGGCGACTGTTCGGGGGCACGCATGATGTCGTGACGTGTCACACCTCGTGTCCCGAGGCTTGGAAGAGCAGTAACATGTGACATACTCTTTCGCGTCGTGTCGGGGCTGCTCTTCTCGTCTTCGTCGTCTTCCTCCCGTTCTTGTATTTTTTCTTGGGCTCATGTGGGGGAGCCCTCGGGTGTCCCAGAGGCCGCTTAGGGCCTTCTTGGGGCCCTCCTGGGCCATCTTGTGGCTCTCTTGGGCTGTCGTAGGGCTCTTGAGCCGTCCGTCCTGGGGCCCTCTTCGCAGTCTGGTGGCTCTTTTCGCAGCCGTCTTGGGGCAGTCTGTGTACCGTTTTGGGCCCGCCAGCTTGGGGGCTTGGGGCTCTCTTGGGGCCGTCCCTGGGCTGTCTAGGGGCCCCCTTCGGCTGCCTTGAGGCCGTCTTGCTGGATTACTGTGCCTTCTTAGAGGCCTCTAGGGCGCCTGGAGATGCAGGAAGCCCGACACCGATTTTCCGGTGGGGGGGTCCCCGTTCTCTCTCGGTCGCACCCCCAAGCCTCCGATCATAGGTTTGCACATGCCTGGTGCGTAATGCATTACTCAGGAAACCTTGAAAAAGTGATCCAACTGCGGAATTGAAGCCCGAGAGTAGTAAGATTGCTGGATCCGCAGGGCTTTTCGGAAACACATTGTTTGGAAACTGTTAAGTTCGTTGCGGTCTGGTTGCGGTATCCATAACGATGCAAACGTGTCAACACATGTGGCACCACGATAGTGTCAACTTAGCGGACTTGCGCGACTTACTTCCAGCGGCATGATCCCAGCATTTGTCCACCAATTTGAGTATCCTCCTGGCTCCGCCCAAGCGTCTTGTAACTTCGTGTTTGCTCGCCGCACCGCTGTGTAATAAACTACCCAATTGCACGACCCGATGATTATTTACAGTTAGTGTGACAGTGATGTCCCCCTTTAAGATCAAGGCCTTGCTGTTTGCCCGATCCAATCGTGAGACCCACAAGAATTCGAAGTTTCAGCGGATACGCACTCATGAGCATCGTGCGGTCATAGTACAGCATGTCATTGCACACGGTATGCGCCCGCTCTCGGGCTTCCATGGACATGGCCCTGTACATGCTGTCAACGTCAAAGAACAGCACGGTCTGCAGAACTAATGATGAACAGCTATGGTGGAAGAGGACATCCTTCTGCTATTCCTGTGCGTTGTTGCCTCGTAGTGGAATTCCCGGTCGGATACTTCTATCGAACACGCCGCGTTTCCTGGACCGTAGATAACGGATCCGGGGTGAACAATTGCACGAGATGGACCCCAGGAGGAGTCCGGGGACCAACTTCGCATGGATTTGGCTTCACCCGCCAGCATATGTCCACATCCGCCGCTTCGCAGTCGTGCCCTGGGATCCCGAGGACTGGTTGACACGGATGGTATCTGCCCGCCCACGTGGTTGGGCAGATGTCCACATCCTTCGCTCCCCGAGTCCCTGGGGCACGACCCCGCGGCAGTGGGTATGGACAAGTTCTGGCGGCGCAGCTCGGTATTGGGAGGCGCCTTGGGCGCCGCCCCCTAGCGCGCTCCGCGCGCCAGGGAGGGAAGCCCAGCGCAGATCTAAGCAAGCCGCGCGGACCTCCGAAAGCGTATGTGAGTGCCGCTGTTTCTTCTTCCAGCACATGAGGCCAAACTGTGGGCCTTCCGTGGCCTTTCTTGGCTCAGGCCGCCGAGGCTCAGGTACGCAGTCACACTTCTTCAGCGATCACCGCCGTATTACATCCATACGCCATGTTGGGATGCAGCTCCTGGGAGGTCATGTTCAGCATCGGCGCTGGTATATCCGTGGTCGAAAACCGGCCCAATCAAGCATATTCCCGATTTGTCTCGCTTCATCCCGTGAAATCCCGCACAGTCCGGCTTAATTTTGGGCGCAATCTGGACCCAATCTGGACCAATCCGGCTCAGTAGCTCCCCGCTCGGGCCTGACAGCCCTGAATCCTTCTCGCCAAGAGCTTTCAGGAGCTGCCTCCTACCCTGAGATCCGACGTTGCACCAAAACTGCAACAGCGCCAAAGATCACGACCAGAGTCCAAGACCCCATCTTCCCGAATCACTTCTCGAGCCGGATCGACGCAATTGGGCGAAGTCGCCTGGAGTGAAAAACCCGCAGCGCCCGGATCTGAGGGTAAGCCATACGTGCTGCCCCAAGCAAAAACAGAAAGCCCATGGCCGCAGGCGCGGGGCCGCCCCTCCCCGCGCCGCTCTCGGCCCTCCTGCGGCTGCTGGCGTGGTGCGCCTGCTGCCGGGCGGTCCAGGTCCCACCCGTGCCTGGCCCGCCCGCTCCGCTGCCGGAGGAGGCGGGGCCGGCGGCGGCGCGCGTGGTGCTGGCGCCGCGGGAGGTGGAGGTGGTGCTGGAGCTCGGAGGGGAAAGAGGTGCCGATGCTGCGACTCCGAGTTGCTCACGGGGCGTGGCGTGGATGGGTAGATCGCGTGGGGGGGTTGTATCGCGCGAGGTAGCGCTGGAGCTCAGAGAAGGAACAGGTTGGAGCCGGCTGGGGGATTGAGGTGGCCCAGCGCCGGCCCGGCAAGCAGGAAGGGGGGGGGCGAGGTGCGTGGTTCTGGGTTCGAGAGCGTGTTCTGCCTCTTTCGGCCTCCCTGGCCGATCTCGGGCCGCACGAGCGTCAAACACGGATCTGGGGTGAAGCATTGCACCAGGCAGGCTCTGGGAGGGGTCCGGGTACCGACCTTGAGCGCATCTGCTTTTGTCCCCGCAGATCTCTCGAAGTCCATCAAGCTCAGGCCCCCTGGCCGCCTCCAACCGACGCCGCGTCTCCGAGCTGCTCGCCGAGCGTGGACGGGTGGATCGCTTGGGGGGGTTCGAAGGGGCTCGTCCAGAGCTCGGCGTGGGATGGTCGGCATCGCGTGAGGGGGTGGGTCTGGCGCGGGCCGTCGGGCGGAGGGGCACGGGGAGGGTGCCAGTTGAACCTTCCCTTGTCGCCACGGCTGGATTCGCCCCGAAACCCCACTCATGACGCAACCCCAGGGGTGGGCCCCAGACGTGCGATGCTTACTTTTGTTGTTGTTGTTGATGATGTTGTTGTTGTTGTTGGTGGTGGTGGTGTTGTTGTTGTTGTTGTGGTTGTTGTTGTTGATTTGTTTGTCTGTTTGGTGTTGTCGTTGCTGTTGAATGTTAATTACAAAACCATTATTATTGTTGGACCCCTTAAAGGCGCCCTGGCGCTCTCGCCGAGGCGCCGGCTACATTTTCATTGAAAATGAGGCTCTCGCTCGAGCGGTTTGGGGGACCGCCCAAACCGGCCCCCAAACAACAACAACAACGCTCCCGCTCGAGACTTCTTCCTTTTTTACTCAGGGCTGGTGTTCTTGCTCGCCGCCGAAAGCCGCCGTCCTAACAAAACCAGCGTTCCCGCCCAAGACTTCTTCCCGTTTTACCTTGGACTGGCGCGCTAGTCTTTCTCTCATCGGCGCCGCCCCCAGCAAAAACAACGCTCTCGCTCGAGGCATCCTCCCTTTTTTACTCAAGGCGGTGCTCCTCCTCGCCGCCGAAAGCCGCCGCCCCTACAAAACCAGCGTTCCCGCCCGAGACGTCCTTCCTTTTTACGCTGGGCTGGCGCCCAACTCTCTTTTGAATTGGCGCCGCTCCCAACAAGAACAACGCTCCCGCGCGAGGCTTCCTCCCTTCTTCCTGAAGACGTTGCTGTTCCTCGCCGCCGACAACCCCCGTCCAGACAAAACCACGGTTCCCGCTCGATGCTCCCCTTATTCTTACTCGAGGCGGTGTTCCTCCTCGCCGCCGAAAGCCGCCGCCCCGACAAAACCAGCGTTCCCGCCCGAGACTTCCTTCTGTTTTACGCTGGGCTGGCGCCCAACTCTCTTATGAATTGGCACCGCTCCCAGCAAGAACAACGCTCCCGCTCGAGATTTCCTTTCTTTTTGCTCGGGACGGTGCTGTTCCTCGCCGCCGACAGCCCCCGTCAAAACAAAACCACGGCTCCCAGACGGTGCTTGTTCCTTTCTTACTCAAGGCAGTGTTCCTCCTCGCCGCCGAAAGCCGCCGTCCTTACAAAACCAGCGTTCCCGCTCGAGACTTCGTTTTGTTTTACGCTGGACTGGCGCCCTACTCTCCTCAGCATTGGCGCCGCTCCCAGCAACAACAGCAGCCCTGCTCGAGAATTCCTCCCTTTCTATTCAGGGCCAGGTCCTTGCCTCACCGCCGACAGCCCCCATCCCCACCAAGGCAATCCTGTCGTTCGATACTTCCTTGTGCTTTGCCCTTCGCTGCGGTTCCAGTGGCGGTCTCGCATCGGCGCAGCAAGGCGCGGGCATGTGTTTTCGAGGTGGGATATGTTGAATTTCCTCGGAGGTGGTGATTGCAAGACCTCATTGGGTGGGAGATCTGGGAATGGGAATAACGGACCCCGCTATAGGACAAGAGTCCCCCATGATGTGGATGGTTATCATGATGGTCGCATGCTTCGTGTGAAAACATCGCGCGCGAGGGTAATTAAACAAATTGTTGATGCTATTGTTGTTGTTGTTGCTGTTGCTGTTGTTGTTGATGATTTGTTTGTTGTTGCTGTTGTGGTTGTGGCTGTGGTTGTTGTGGTTGTTGGTGTTGGTGCTGGTGTTGTTGCTGTTGTTGTTGGTGGTGCTGTTGTTGTTGCTGTTGTTGTTGTTGTTGCTGTTGTTGTTGTTGTTGTTGTTGTTGTTGTTGTTGTTGTTGTTGTTGTTGTTGTTGTTGAGTTCTCACTTCTGAAAAATAATGTTTGATGATCCCCTCCCACCGGTGCGTATTGTTTTTCTTAATCAAAGTGTGCCCCTCGACGCTCGCACTCTGCTTTTTGACAAGGAAAGTCTTCCTGCTCAAAGTGGGCCCCTGGCCCCTGGGTTACAACGACAGCGGCTCCCGCTTGAGACTTCCTTACAATTTAGCCAGGACCCCCGCTCCCGCCCGAGACTTCCTCGCATTTTATTCAGGAATCGCGCTCTCGTTTGGGACTTCCTTACAAGTTATTCAGGAATCGCTCTCCTGGCGCTCTGGAGTCGCGCTCTCGCTGGAGACTTGCTTGCAACTTACTGAAGAATGGCCTTGCGTTGGAATTTCCTACAATTCGCCCAAGCGCCGCGCTCCCGACACCCAGGCACCCAGGAGTCGCGCCCGTTGTGGCCCCATGTGCATGTTCTTCGTGGCCCCGCTGTCGCTATTTGTGTCCCCCTCACTGTCCTACGTTGTCCAGTTGCTACCCTCAGTGGCCCCATAGTTGCCTTCTGTGGCCCCGCATTATCTGCACTTCGTGGCCCCCGCTTGTTCGCGTTTTTCGTGGCCCCATACGCATTCCCTTCGTGTCCCCGCTGTCGCCCTTCGTGGCCTACTTCGTGCCCTTCGTGGCCCTGCTGTCGTTCTCTCTCGCTCTCGCTTTCGCTCGTCGTCGCCGTCATCGTCGTCGTCGCCGTCGTCTTCGACGTCGTCGTCGTCGTCGTCGTCGTCGTCGTCGTCGTGGTCGGTCCCCTGTCCGTCCCTCTTGGGGTCGGGTCGACGGTCCGCGGCCGCCCCGCCGATCAGCGCTGCCGCTGGCCAGGCCGACGAACAGTCTTAAAAGTGTTGTTGTTGTTGTTGTTGTTGTTGTTGTTGTTGTTGTTGTTGTTGTTGCTGTTGTTGTTGTTGTTGTTGTTGTTGTTGGTTGTTGTTGGTTGTTGTTGTTGCTGCTGTTGTTGAACATTATTACTTCTAAAGAATAATTATTGTTGGGACCCCTGGTGCACGACCCCCCCGCCGCGCCTAGGCCGCAGCCTCATTTTCATCATTTTCGTGAGGAAGTCTCAGGCAAAACGGGGGAGTCCGGATCCGGTTGTGTTGTTACGATCGGTTTTCCCTTGCAAAAAATAAGCTAAAGTGGACATTTCTTGTTCTAACATAACCAAACTTCAAGAATCCCTTGCAAAAAATAAGGTAAAGTGGACATTCGCGCGCGCAAGACGAAATCCTTCCAAAACCTTAGTTTTCGTAGCGATTTTAACATAAAAACATCAAAAAACAATGGTTTTTTCAAAAAAAATGTCAAAATTTCATCCCGCGCGCTCTTGCGGATTCGTAGGAAACCCAACACTTTTTAAACATTTCTGTCAAACGGGCTTTTGCGAGCAACTTTTTCGAACTTCTGCAACAACGGTTGCGCACCTGCCAGGGCCATCATCCCTGTCAAATAATACCATGCGGGACACATTCGTTTTTTCTTCGCGCGCGCACGCCGTCGTCGTCGGCCGCGGGGCCCTGAATAGTAGCCACGGTCGTCCGCATGCCACGAAGTGAAGTGTCCGAACGTCATAGGGCGGGAAGCTGGGTGTGGGTGGTGGCGAAGAGTCGTTTGGAAATTTGGTAGAGCTTGAACCGGCCCCCCCACAAAGTGGGGGTATTGCCCGCCTCCTATGAAAACCCTGGCACTGGTGAGAACGGAGTGTCCCCACGTGCTAGTAATTGTTGTTGTTCTTGAACATTATTACTTCTAAAGAATAATTATTGTTGGGCCCCCTGGTGCACGCCCCCCTCGCCGCGCCTAGGCCGCAGCCACATTTTCATCATTTTCGCGAGGAAGTCTCAGGCGAAACGGGGGAGTCCGGATCCGGTTGTTTTGTTGACGCCCGTTTTCCTTGTCAAAAAACAATATAAAATGACATGTCTTGTTCTAACATAACCAAACTTCAAGAATCCTTTGCAACAAATGACACGAAGTGCACACTCGCGCGCGCAAGACGAAATCCTTCCAAAACCTTAGTGTTCGTAGCGATTTTAACATAAAAACATAAAAAAAAAAAAAAAAAAAAAAAAAAAAAAAAAAAAAAAAAAAAAAAAAAAAAAAAAAAAAAAAAAAAAAAAAAAAAAAAAAAAAAAAAACCAATGGTTTTTCAAAAAAAAGTGTCAAAATTTCATCCCGCGCGCTCTTGCGGATTTGTAGGAAACCCAACACTTTTTAAACATTTCTGTCAAACGGGCTCTTGCGAGCAACTTTTTCACGTGCTTCGAACTTCTCCAACAACGGTTGCGCACCTGCCAGGGCCATCATCCCTGTCAAATAATATCATGCGGGACACATTCGTTTTTTCTTCGCGCGCGCACGCCGAAATCTTCAAAAACCATTGGGTTTCTTAGGAATTTTAGCACCGCGCATCATAAAATCGCACGAATCGCACCGTAGGTCCTCGAAAAACACGTG